GTTTTAAACCCTTTTGACATAAAACAGGCCACCTGACTTCTGGGCAGGCCTGATACATGATGTACTACTTTGCTCATGTGAAATTTGCCCGAGGGGGAAAGATTACTTTGAAGTGACAGCTCATAGTTCAGGAATAAGTTTCTGTCTTTATTATACTGGAGCTTCCAGCTTTCACAAAAAAAAAAACGGTCTAGCATCCCACTGTAGGGAGGCTTGTTGTGTACTATTGACTGTGAAAACAAATAAGCATAAAAATGTGTCATGTTCCAGAAATAAACAAAAGAGCCCAAATAGATAAAAATCTGAAAGTAAATACAATGGATACAGTCATGATTCTAAATATTAAATGTGTCTCTAAGAGATTGAAACCGATAAGGAACTGTTAAGACAAAAGAGCGGTCTTAAAATCACAGCATACAATATACACTTAACTCTTAAAAACAAGAGGAGTTAACAATTTCTTTACTAAAATTACTTCAGGTTATGCATAAGAGAAACTACATGTTATGCTATAAGTGTAACATCAGATTGGGACCAACAGACAGGTCAAAGGTGGAATGACACTCTGATTATATAAACTGAATCCAACAAAATATGCAGAAAAGCCTATGTTTAGTCCATCTACATCTCTCTCCATTGCGGAGGCTGATAGTTCAACACAGCATCTACTTTCAGAATTACTCGGTTTTTGGGCTTTGTCCATAATCTGGTATTTAGAAAAACTCCTTTTCTATTTCACTCTCAAGTCATACTCAAGTATGCTTTATCACAATTTTTATTGAACATTTTTTTCCTGTTATCACCCACTGACAAAGCCTGGTTTCAGGTATATATGGCTGTAGTCATAGTGACTGAGGTTAGGTCTTTCTAAGAGGGCGAACAGATTAGGTGCCTCCCACCTCACCTGAGGACTCAAAGAGATGCAGTTTTTAAAACGTTGTGTTCCCTATTGTTTTTCAGAATATCAGTAATTCCAAGTGCTATATGCCATTGTCAGAACCGTTTAGGATCTATTAACATCTACTTTGTTTCTTGAGGATGCTTTTCTACATGTACCGGTTCATTTAGTTTGGTGTGCAGGGGATAATGTCTCCTCATTTGCCCTGTCCTGCTTTTAGTATACTCTGGGCTTTGACCCAATTTTTTATTAACAGGAAGTGATAGTCCACAATCTGCTACACTACTTTGTCCAGCAGACCCATCTTTCCCCCTCAAGATGCAGAAACAGCCATCTTCCAAAATGCCATACACTTTACATATTTTTATTTTGACAACTTTCAATGACCAGCAAGATCCCCTATAGTAACATGTTCTGTGTCCTATGATGCACATTTTTCAAAACAATTTCTTGTGTACGTGCTGAAGAATACTTTAATTTATTAAAGAATATAAGCTCAAAGATTAAGCTCTTGAATGACTGCAAAATTTGTACATTCTCCATAACATCCCAGTTTACTATTACATGTAAGCATTGTTAAATTGACTAGCATTTGGTGGGTGAATGATAGTGTCAACATTATTCATTACTCATACCAATGATGACTTTGAAAAGAAGTTCAGTTTCTTTAATGAACAGATGAGCTAAAGCAGTGCTCAGCATTAACACTGACATTCTGACTGGAAGCTAGAAGCACCCATGGCTTACAACACAATGACTCAAACCTACAGACTATTTAGGAGGCCTGTACAAATTTATCTGATTGCCAACTGCAAACTGAGTTGCATAGTTCTGTGAAACAGGTAATGTAGCCACGCCATTTTATAATTGTTCCATTACCTCTGCAAATAATCAACTAGTATTTAATTTTTAAGCATCTATGTTCCAGATGTACCACTAAAAGTCTAAGTTACATCTGTATAATTCTAGTAGATTCCTATTTGAGTTTAAGTTTTATCACTTCGTGATTTATTGTTGGAAGGAATATTTAAAAATCTTGCATGAGAAATACAGTTTCTTTATTGAGTTTCTCACAGCAGTGATCCCTGCTGGGATGTAATTCTGTAGAGTCCCACAGATTGAGTACACAGCATTACATCCCAAAGCACAGTACTTTCTAATCCAAATTTTGTAAAACTATCTGTGAGATCTGAGGTTTTCACTTCAGTGAAAATTTATATTGTGGCATTCTGTATTATGACACTGTGCACTATGGTTTGCAGTACCAATGTTTAGGAGAGACCTGCTGTTTGCATTCTAATGGTAGGACTACACTGAGGCATCAGCTTTCTCCAAAGTGTTGGTTACTACTGACTGAAAAATACGGTGTCATAACTGAGAACACCACAGTCCAGTCAGAGAACTGTGTATTTACAAGATCTTCTTGCATCCCTTCCAACAAGACAAGATGGAGCTGAGATATCAGCCAGCAACATCACATCACACATATATACAGTTAGGCCTCTAGCTATGTAAAGACGCACAACAACATACTGCACATGTGGCACCAACCTGCCACAATAAAACTAATTTTTTGTACATTAATGAGAGCATGTTTGTAGGTCTATTAATTCTAAAACATCAAAACACAACAAACTTCATTGTATAACAATGGCAGGTGCATGAAAATTAGAGCATTCTGGCAAATTTGCTAAATAGCACAGAAATATATTGACATTTGCACTGAGTACAGACTCCTATTTACTGAAGGACTTGTGGGTAGGTGTAGATTTTGTTTTAGAATTTTCACTGATAAGACATACAATAACTGCTATTGTGTTCTTTGCCTTATGTAAGTCTTGTTGTGTTATGTAGTAGCTTAAAATGTTAGGTTTATATCAGAATTTAAAATAAGATTGGAGGTGGGGGGGAGACCAGAAAAAACAACTGAGGTACAAAAATTAAAGTTATATAAAAGTGAAAATTTTGACCAAAAGTATACCGAGCTGCAATTAGTGAACATCCATAATGTGCACCCAGTTCTTACGTGAAACTTTCATTCTAGTAAGCAAAGCAAATTGAATTCTTCTCCAGCTCCAAGTGTATGAAACTCTTTTCATTTTAGTAGAAGTATGTACACATGTAATGAAAATGCTTAATATTGAGGGAGGCCAAGAGAAATGTTTTATATGTTCTTGTGGCAGAATCTGCTTGGGTTCCTTCAAGCACATATGTAATTTAAATAAGGCACCCTTCGAATTAAAGTACAATCTTAAATAACATTTTTCTTCCCAAAACAAACAGTATTATCATAACATATTTCCATATATTTTGTCTTCACTTGAAACATTTTAATTGTGATTTCTTTAAATATGGGGCTACGTATCAAGGACTGAAGACAGAAAAGTAAGTGGAAAATAAATGTACCAAACCAAACTGAACCAACACTCAAATTCAGAGACACCAATGAAGAAGAAAACCAAAACCTTCATGCTGTACAATACCTGCCCACTTCTAGTGTCACCTATAGAAAAAGAATTGTACCCACAAATAAAAATCATGTAGACATTCATGAAGAGTGTGACACATCATGTGACCTTCCCTATAAATTACCAACTTTGTTGGTGATAATGAGAATCCATACAGGAGAAACTTGTTAAACATGCCATATGGGCCAATTTATTGTGTTTCCTATGCCTGCTGCTACTTCAATTTTCAAAATCCTGCCTTTGTTCCAGCCTACCCTATGACCTTCACAGGCATGTCTGGCTATTTTTGATTTTTATAGAAGACCCTCTCTAAGAGTCTATGTTTGCAAAGCCACATGGCTAGCAGACTGCCTATTTCACCAATGTAATTCCTGCAACATTGACAAAGAATGCTGCAGATGCAATGTGCTATCTGATGCAGACTTCTTTCTGGCCTGATTCTCATGAGTAAATACCTACGAGTGTGTTCCATTTTGAAGATAGTCCCAGTGTTGCAACAAATTTCTATAGGCTTGAACTTTTTATAAATGCCCCTCACATTGAATATTAGAAAATGAACAAATTTGAAAAACTCAGTAATCCCAAACTTAATCAGTGATTTCTTTAGGTAACTTGACACCACAGACCCTTTGCAAACAAAAGGCCATACCACCTGACATGGCATTCACCCTACTTTTTCAGGGTGTGGATGAATTGGAGCACTGATTATGTCAGTACCATCAGGACATTTCTGGGGGGGAAACAGAAAATGTGCTTAAAATCTTACATTTAAATCATTTAAGATTATTTTTACTAATTGTCCTAAAGTGTGTTGTGTACTGTACACAACACACAGCACATAGGAAACATCTAACCATAAGCCATACAACCTCAAGCTGACATCTCCCAACTTCGGGATGAATTAACAAGGAGGAGCTTAGCATTTTACATCAAATGTTTTAAATATTTTAAATATTTTAACATTAGCGTTTTAACTTAAAAACAGTTTCGGATGGAAAGTGAGAATTGATAGTGTACTCAACTATCCTAGCAAGTGTTGTGCTTTTACACGTCAACATATTGTAGCAGCGTCCACACAACAAACATAACTGTGAACATCATAAACAACGACAGTGTTTTCATAATTGTAGTAAGTGCCTCTGATGATGGTTGTGTCAAACCGAAACATGTAAGGCAGAAGTGATAAAGAAGTGACCTACAAATTGTTACACTCGACGGACTTTCTATTAACTTTGTGATTGATAGTGTAACGGACCAAAAATGAAACAATTCAAAATATATTTTAGGTTTTCGTGGCTGTGAATATTAAGATTGAGATACTTTGGGATGTGATGCCACGCAGCCTGGTATATGGTTGGCAAAATTTCAGAGAAACCAACTATCTTCATGTTCAGGGTACATAATTCTGCCCTGAAGATGGAGATACCAGGTTCCTCAAAAATATTTATTACCATCTACCAGACTACCATACAGCATTGCATCTGACTGTAGCTTACAGTGCAACATTCTGATCTATGTGGGTGCCTGCACTCTTCCTCCCTTCACTACTATGGTAGGCTGCACACCAGCATGCATCAAGACATGTAACAGTCAAGACACGATGTCTGTGACATGACACAAAGAAAGAAGCACAGTTGAAGTGAATGAGATTATGAAAATCGCCGCACACCGGTCTGAGTCACGATGCTTGTCTTGATGCAGTTGGTGTGCAGCCACCCTAACACATCTCAGATGAGACAGTTGCACCTGACTTTAGTTACACACCATGAAAATTAAAGAATGAAGTAAATAGGTGTTCACAGTATACATAAAACCAATATTACACATCATTAAAAATGTGTGTATTAAGAGAGCAAATTTGCCACATGTTCCTCTTGTCATTTTCTGTGGATTGAGGAGGAACATAATCACAAGCATCAAAAAGAGAAGCAGCTATACATCCTTCACAACAACATTTACATAAGCTCTTGGGCTTATTATGAGCCTAATGTGTATATCTGAGTATAACAACAAAATACATGATTATCTTCTACAGAATCACACAATGCAAGAGAATTCCCTTTCTTCTATGACTTATTTGCTACATTTCCCTTCATATAGAGTACTTGTGCGTTCAACGGGTAGTAGCATGTCAGAAAACAGCAACAGGTTATGCTTTTGTATATACAGTTATTCATCCTTTTAACTTTCATTACTTAATTCAGACATCCATATAAAAATGATGCTCACACATTACACAATGTTTTATATATTTCATATAATAGATACTGTTTCTGTGTCACAAACTGGGTAAACATCAACTTATTTTAACTTATTTTAATAAAAAAAACTGCATCTGAAATATCTAACTCTGAGAGAACAGATGATCTGATAATATTGATTTCTCACACTATGTGTACCCAATGCATTCTCCATAACAGCTGTATTTACAGGCCTGTGATACATTATTAATTATGTGAATATTTCTTTGGTTTAAAAATGTATTACAGTGAAAATTACAATATAAATAAACACATCCAAATTAAGAGTATATATTTGCATCTGTAAAGAGAAAAGTGTTCTTGCTCAGCATATTGTCTGAAATTGTTCCTGTACTCATTGTCAAGATTTCCGTGCGCCAGAAACCTAACATAAAGATACATCCATATTAACAAATGTCACAAGCACAATAACTACAAAGCTTGACAATTCATATTATGCTGTGGAGAAAATAAATATTTAAGAAATTATGTATAATGAAAATGTAATAAAATACTATTTTCATATACTTATTGTCTTTACAATTTAACCTGGAATCATCGCCTATGTTACATTATGTAAAATATATTACTCTTATAACGTTGGATCTATCAGCCTAACACTGAAAGCAAGAAGTGATTGCTGTAATACCATATAAATTAAAATATCTACATGTGAAACATTATAAATATCTCTGCTTCCATATTGCAGCAAAATATTATAGTTCAATAATTTTATAAAATATTATAGAGTACATTTTTATAAATTTCATACCTGATGAATGAAACTGTTAAGTAACTAAGTACACTCAAAGTATATTTCTCACACCAGAAGGCAACGGTTTAACTGTGATAATGTTCCAGAACAATGTAGCTCATGAAGAAATTCAACACTGTTGACATGAGAAATTTTAATTCCAAGATGATGATTTGCAGAATGCTGTACCGTTACTCAAATACTGATTAAGAATATAGGGCAAGACATTTATCTATAAGAAGGTAATTTACCATCCACAGCCATGAATGTACATTCTATTTGACTAATTGAGCAAATGGCTTACTTATGATTGAATACTTGAGAGTAAGAGAGATGAATGGGTTTCCTGTGGTCTCTCTCATGCCAGGAAAGAGTCTTATCTAATTAAAGCATCATTCTTTTCTCAAAAACTACCAGCTAGAAGAGTACAAATAGTTAGGAACTTACAAGTTTATACTGCCAAAATACTGACAGCAACGCTAAATGGTTATTCACCATTCTGGTACATCAACTTGAGATAATTCAATTTCTGTGTTGAAAGTCTTCATACAGGATGAATAAGTATTTCTCAAGTGTACTTAAAACTTGCAAGTTATCATAATCAGTACTAAACTGGATATATAACATTTATGTCCTTCTTTATTGTCAGAATGCAGTAAAAATGATCGTATGTTCACTGATATGGATATATTGTCATAGCACCATTATGGTCTCATCTCTCCAACTTTTGAACTGCTTAATTGTAAACATCTGTATCTTTGCACAAGTCTGGACTTTTAAAAGTCCTTCTGGGTTAAAGAACAAAAGATATTTGTAGATATAAATTGTTTGCATCCATCATCAAACAATGCAAAAATGCTATGCAGACAAAGCACAAAGCCACTCCCTCTCTTCAAGAGTATTAGAATTTACCTTTTGTAATCACTGAATATTTTTACAACATCCTGAAACTGTTCATACATGGTAACTCTTCAGCACAGTTCAGAAAGAAAAAATACAACATTTATCAAAACAAAGAATTGATTTTTGGCATTTGTTTGTGATCTTTCTAACAATACTGTCAAGTCTATGCCAATTACAAGAACTACAAATATTCACAAGACCTTTAAAATGGTACAATCTTAAGTACAGGGGTATTTATTGAATCTGTGGTGAAACATCTGCACTATAAAACCTTTAACTGCCTCACCCATAATACTGTTGAGTTGTAGATTTCAACTGCAAATTAACTCTCAATTATCTGCGTTAAAGAGGGGAAAAGTAATGCAGCTAACTAAAACAACAGCTAAGCAAAAAAGCTTGAAATATAGCAAAACCTCAATTTTACACTCTTTAAAGGGACACACAAAACAAAAGTAAAATTGAGGAAATTGTAAGATCGGAAAAATGAAAATATGTGACATAAAAATGTGGGTTGCTCTATACATTGGCAAGCTATATGAAGTATGCATGTCTGAAGACGACAATGGTATGTCACTCAAAATAAGTATATTTGAACACAATAGCAAAATAAATAAAAATATACTAACACCTCATGTATGCATGTTTCAACACGTGCATCAAATTTTCTATAATAAGAATCTGATCATTCATTGTAATACTTTTCATTTTTTGCTTTTCATCCATACTTCAGTGCTTCCCCAAAAATAATTAAAAATAAATTGACTGCCACATTTACATACAATGACTAGTATTGTGCAGATACTGTAAACAGCCAACTTCATAGTGAAACCAATGGCTATATAAAACAGTCTTTGAACATGTGTGGAACAATTCCAGGGTTTCTTTGAATTCCTTGAAATAAATGCCGTAAATGTAAAACTGGGTAAATTTCTGTAGTCGTGACTTGAATAATAAAGTGGAAATTCTAGAAAAATATACAGTTGAGGTAACAAAATTAATTACAATTTGACATTATTCTTATGTATTTTTGGCTGGGAACAACAAAATTGCATGTAAAATCAGAAATGTAAAATCAAAGTTTCACTGTATCCATTATTCATGTAGACTTAACCTTGAAAATGATTTAACTGTGATATTGGTCACTAAACAGTGAAAAATTATCTTTCCAATAGATGAAAGCAGCCTTTGTTTAGTTGTAGGCTGGTATGAAAATTGATAAAACAATGAAATACAAAGTTCAGACATAGTGTTTAAGAATTACAGCCTACTGAACATTTTTGTAAAGCATATTACTGAAACAGGTGGGATAACTGACAGTCTAGTGTACAGCACTGCACCATGGAGTAACAATATTCTATTGCATTGACAGATACCGTAAAAAGAGTGCCACACTACATGTTAGCTGCATTCCAATGTTATGTACACAAGCTTAAAATCATGACAAAATATTCAACATCATACATAGCAGTAGCATTTTGTAGGATGCCACACTTCAGTGGAACTAATTGACTTATCATACAATAAACAGGAGAACATTTAACATACCAAAAGGACAGAAGTTGGTTCAGTAGTCCATATGAAAGTTCAGAATTTCTAAGAGTTCCTACAGAAGCCTGAATGGCATACAATATTCCAGAAAAGGGGCAGGAGATTCTCTCAACAACTGAGCGACTATTAACTTCTGAAGAAGGGCTGTGCTGCTTAGGATTACTTGCCCACATCTGTGAAAAGTGATTACTAGTGAAACTATAATGTAATAAAATGAACACTACATTATCCTGTTCATCATTGCAGGAATGCATAACTTTGACATATAATGAATTCCTTACAAAGTACTGTACATGGACATTGTGTCAGTCTGTCTGTGACCTGGTATTGGGCTTAAACTACTGAACAGGTTTCCTGAAGAATTGACATGGGAGACTTCCATCAAAAATTGTTGGGTAATTCCGACTTTCAGCCTTATTAATCTATAGTATATATGTATATGGTTAGAGGTACATCAGCATTGGTGGCTATATGTGTAATCCAAAGAAAATCCTGGTTTACATAAGAATATGAATGGATTTTCTATGTATCCCACAAACCCTTCACAGATTTTGTTGAGATCCAAACTTGGATACTTTCATCACGAAACTGTCATACAATTCTGATATTCAGCCATACTAATCCACAATAAAGCCCGTTTTATAAAACATCATAACTGGACTTCTCCATGTAACCTATTAACAGTTTTATGGTTTTATTTGATACTTGTTGTGAGAGTCCTTGGTTACAAGTTTTCCTGCAATTCCAGTCTTGAGCTACACTGACATATAATATAGTCTAGTTTGTGTATGCCCATAAATGGATTTTTCCATGTATTCACAGATTTTGTTGGAATCTGACATGGGAGAATTTTATTAATTTACATTTTGTTACTCAACTTTTTAATTAGGCTTAATAATCTTCAATGACCACAATTAGTAGTTCGCAGTGTTTGTGTCGTAACTTATCATGTGGAATTGCCTTAATGTAGGGAAATACTGAAACACAATTATTGAAAATTGGGAATGATACAGAGTGTGTAGAAACATGCCAATATGGTTCTGGGTTCTTCTGAAAAGATGTGGGTTGTCATTTGGTCAGACAATAATTACCCAAATACATGATGTGTGTCAAAATCTAACCCTTAGATTATCAAGCTCTCTCATAGAATTACCACCTGGATATTACAATGGTGCTTAGGGGTAAATACAGATGCAAATTCAAGCAAACAACACTTCCTCAACTGATCTTCAAACAACAGCAGGTTTGATCATGTGAAAGCCTCTTTTTTCCTTTAAATATTTATATGTTACATTTCATACCATCTACTGATAGAAAGGTTAAGGTAACTGTTTGCTGATCTCTTCATCTCTGGTGCTCTTAACACAAGTAGTCTGGTCTCATAAAATAAATATATGACATGCAAAGGGTTAAAATATATTGTTTAAACAAACACCTGTGCTAGTAAGTGCAGAATTTGGAAATTTGCCTTCCTAATGACCTTCTTGAACTTATTTCATCATTGTTTATATAGTAGTCTGTTTCCTAATGAGTGCTACCAACAGCATACTGCAAAGGGTGAGAATACGTTTAGAACAGGACTGCTGGAGAGCATGTTTAAGCCTACTTAATATGATTGACATTATATACATCATTACTTCCAGTTATGCATCCACATATATTGTACCTGTGCCATATAAATGAATCAAGTTTGATGTATTTCATGTTTTAACTTGTAGCATTAGAGAAGAATGTTCCTTAAATGCCTCCCTTAAAGAGATGTGATCTGTGTTTTCAAAGGGCATTCATTTGTTCCCATGTAGTGTGGCACGTCTGTTTTACAGCACTGCACAGCGGTCACAGATGACAGAACAACCATAAACTGCTGAGCTTTCTACATACTGTTTACTGCATCCACATTTGTCCTTCAGGATCGTAAGTCCCTGTCATCATTTGAATGGAGGGCCATTTGATGCTTGATCCAGGGAACGTATTTTGGAACATATGCATACACACCAGGTAGATGAGGATGTGCACATTTGATTCCCCAACTTACAATTCCACCAACAAACCAACGGTCACGATCACGACAAAGTAGTGGGCCTCCAGAATCACCCTAAAATATCAGATTAATATTAATATGCTCAAACATTAACATATCCATTCCTTCTGTCTACATGTATTCATTATCACAGTTGTCCTGTGTTGGAGGAAATCAAATATTTCTCTTTCTAGGACACCTGTGTTTATCCTCACATGAATGTTTCACAAAACATAAATTGTGTAAATATTAAAAAGAAAGGAAGCCTATACAAAACATAACAATTCTTTCAGGAAGAGAACATTAATATTTACTTCTTAACTGGCTTTCACAGGGAAAATCAACCTAATGCTTTTAATTAGTTCCTTGATTTTTGAACTTGGACACATAACACATCTTGGATGGAAATTTTGCATAAAATACAGTGGAAATACAATTAATTTTTCTACCACGTTGCATTTTGAACATTTTTAGTTAAAAAATACGGAGAAGAACCAAAAAATAAAGTCACATAAAATATCTTAATGAAATTGAAATAATACATGAAGCAATGCACAATAATATAAAATAAATAAAATTAATGTAATTAAGTACAGGAATTGTAAAACAATTTTAAAAGCAAATGTACAATGCAGGCTCACTTCTAGAAACTGTCTGCATTAATTCTTGGGATCCTTTATAGCCCCCCACAAAAATTTCTGTTGTTGCTGAACATGATCACAAACAGTTTACCAAGCCAGTGTGGATGAATGTAATTTCAAGAGCATTCCTATGGAAGACTTTTGTATAGACTAATTAATTTGTTGGCTGATGAAATAATAATACAATACCTGACAAGCATCTTTACCCCCTTCAGCATAGCCTGCACATATCATGCCTTCAGTCACATTGAGGTCGCGATGTTGCAGCCATACGTTGCACAAGTCACGATTCAGTACAGGAACTTGGACTTCATTCACAGCTGGCTCATATTCAGACGCTGTGAGATCACATCATGTCAGAATTTTTTATACATATTTTACTCTCATACACAGGATGAACTAGTACACATGTAAGAGCAAGATCTACAAACCAAAACACAGAAACAATTTCATATGAATATGGATACAGAAAGGTTTCCTTTTTCCCTTCTTTTCCCTTCCAAATATTTTTGATGCAATATCACACATCAGCAACTTTTCAGAATGAATGTCAGTGTCAAATCAACATGCTTCTTTGTACGAGGTCAGGATGATAAACAGAACAGGGTAAAATTGTTTCCCATATGCAATGAATAGGAATGCCTGACTCATCTCAGGACTAGACATTGTAGGCAGGTACTGCATTCATGTTCTGAGTTCAGATGCAATCATACTATTTAAATTATTGAAATAATCTCTATTAGCCTGTAGGAAAGTATCATTAATTGCTGTAATAAATCCTTAAAATATTTAAGCTTATTAAAATTAAATGATACTCGTATATATTCCTATTCCTTAATTGTGAGTCAGCTGTATACGGTTTCATGACCATGCCAAGGACACTAGCATTTTAAAAATATTTTGAGAATATCTGATTTGTGAATTTCAAGTAGGAAATGTTGTGTAAGGGGACTGAGGCCATCCAAGCATTATCATCCAAATTTCTTATGAGAATCAGAATGTTATTGTCGCGTTTTTCCTAAGCAACGTGGCAAGAAATTGTGTGGGTCTCAGATTTGGACAAATATTTGTTGGATGATCGCTCTTTACACTCACAAACACAATTATTTGCATTTATAATGTCTTTAGACGTTTCCCCCTCAATGTCATACACTCTTGCACTGCTAATTTCAGTGAAGTATCTTCTGCTCTGCTCAGAGCTCAATTGTCCTTAGCTCTTATCGAAGCTAAACTAATTGGTCTCTTGTCAGATATGAACTAACAAGTCTCTTGCTGAAGTTGAACTGTTATATCCTGCACTCAGGCTGAATAGGGAACACCTTGTCGAAGGGTTAATTTTGCCCACTGCTATGCAACAAATTTCTTGTTGCTGCAGGAATACATTTTTACTTCCTCAAACAATTTGTTGCTTAGATATTGCTAGCCCAGTGTTAGGTTCTCGTATTCTTCAAGCGGTTTCCTAGGTAGCATTATTATTATTGGAGGGGGTGGGTTTCCCCATGCACTGCGACTAGTTGTTAATCTATTGTGTGTCCCCCTTTAATATTCTACCAGTCACCATGCCCTTTCAGTACTGGTGGTCGCCCCATTCTGCCAGCAAGGTTGGCCTTCTCTGAGAGTGGTCCCTGATACTTCCCCATCTACCGGAGGAATTGGAAACTACTTGGGCGGGAAACTTTGCCTAATTTTGCTCAGAGGTCTCCTAGAGACATGAGGATCTTTTATGTGCCATAAATCTATGACACGGGACCCACAGAGAACTTGTTCCCTGAATTTTTCTGCCTTAAAAATTCCACGGCCTCCATCAGGTTTGAACCCACGTACCTTGAGTCATGAGGTGGGAACATTACCTCTAGACTACAGAGGCCGCTTTTCCTAGGTAGCATGCTTTCTCATTGTCAGTTGCATAGCGATGGATGTCTTACAGTCCGGCTTTCAGTAAAACATCATATTATTGTTGAAACACCCAATTTATGGGCATGGTAAAAAGCAACTAGGGTTATGAATGTATGAATGAATGTATAAGTGGTGGGCCTTCTTGGCCCTTGCACTGCGACCTACAGTGGTCTTTTGTGCTTTGAAACTAGGGTTATAGATTAGAGGAAAGCAACTATGTGCTTCTGTAAGCATCAGAAGCTGATTACTGGGAATTGGCATTGTATAGCAGTAAATTTCAATATTTTTCTGTTCCAGTTAGTTAAATAAAAGACCATTACTGAAATACATATTACCTGAAGCTGATACATTGATACTATTTTGGTCATGTGTGTTATGTAGTGCAATAGTGATACTTTTAACAGTTTATAAAAAATTGTCATCATCTCAGCTGGGTGATATTTGAATGAAGTGTTGCAACAGGCTCAGTAAGTTCAGTGTCAAGCAGCAGTAGTAGTACTTACCGTCTTTGTCCTCCCTTTTACCCCATCCAATCACAGTGCAGAGAGTCCCAGGTGCAAGTTCATGATTTGGTTGTGGCAGGCACACAGGAAGTAAGTGTTCATGAAATGCCACGCGAGACTTAAGCTGTAAAAGGAAATATAGATGGCATTTTCATACTGCAGAATACCATGTTGGATATGTGATGTGAGTAGTAAAGTATTAACACTACTCCTACAGGAAATAAGTATAACATATCTTCTGTCACTGAACAAGAAACCATCTATCTTATCAAATCCTTACGAGATTTGGTCAGTCTTCCAATTTTGAGAAGTGTGTATTTTGCGAAATTTGAATCTTTATTGAGATATGGTATTATTTTTTGGGGCTGTGGTCAAAAGGACATTCAAACTGTATTTAAAATCCAAAAAAAATGTTTAAGACTGATCAAAAGAGTCAATAACAGGATATCGTGTAGAGAATTTTTTGGTGAATTTAAAATTTTAACCTTAACTTCATTGTATATCTTTGAGACGTTGTGTTTTTTAAGGAAAAATAGGATATATAACATCTCGTATTCAGATGTGCACGGTTATAACACAGTACATAAGCAGAATTTGTATGTCCAACCATGTAACACCTCACGTTGTAAAAGGAGTGTGATTAACATGGGAATAAGATTGTATAATAACTTGCCCTCTCAAATAAGAAGTATTCAAGAGTTCAAGGTTTTTAAGCGTCAATTAAAGGATTACTTGTTGTGCAAAGCTTTTTATTCCCTTCAAGAATATTTTTACAAGAATTAGCTTAATAATAGAACAAAGATACTTAGGTAATTTATTTTAGATATTGCATGTAATTTATAGTTTAGCTTTTGTTGCCTTATTATACTCATCCACTGTTTTATCATATTTAAAGGATTTATTATGTTATTTTTCTATGGTTTTTTTATATTATTAGTCATTTGATGTGATGTTTAATCTCATATATTTTTTTATAAAACTGACTTGTCCAATTGTACATAATGTAACAGTTATGGATGTTAAATAAATCAATCAATCAATCAATCAATAGGTGTGTATTCAAAATAGAGAAAAGTCGTTTTCCAAGAATACCTCTATATAAATCACATTATATAAGCATATGAGACTTTATAGCATGTCTGCAATAAGTTGCAAAAAATTCTGCCATGTCTGTTTTCTCTCTGTTTCTTTGTCTGCTTGCTACCCACATGTCCACTTGTAATGACTGAAGAACACTACCAAACTTTCATGAACAATATTATATTTAAGCATCCTGTTGCACTCTACACGATAAATGATACAAACTCTGTCCCAAGTGCAAACAATATATTATATGTCTTTGATCTTGCTCTCTTTTACACTACATGTTTCGCCCTTTAGACATAGGGCGAGTAACCCTAACAATTTTAAATTTTAAATTTTAAAATTTAGAGGACATTTTAAAGGATTTTAAAATTAAAACTAAAGATTTTATAGTGCTACTACAGGAAAATCAAAATGAATGTGTGCAAAATAATCTATAAACCAGACAGATATCAACGAAGTAGATGCTGATAATAACAAGGAAAAAACAATGTGCTTTTAAAATGTTAAATTTTAAACTAAGTGCAGTGTAACAGCAACGTGAGAGTATACACCTGATGATGGCCGTTTGAGGCCAAAACATGTAGTGTAAAAGAGAGAAAGATCAAAGACATATAATATATTGTTTGCACTTGGGACGGAGTTTGTATCATTAAACTTTCATGAAGTTTGATATTGGGAAAGTTTTACTAAAATTTGTCAACATGTAGCTATTTTGATTAAAAATGGAAACAGTAAGGCGTGATAACCTACTTGTGTTTCTGTATGAATTGTGTGAGTAACTTGCTAAGTATTTATCATAGTAAGAACACACATGCCATAGGGAAGCATGAACACACACTTTCAGAAAGTCTTACAAGTTCTGTTAAATAATTAAGAAGAGGGGCAGGGCATGTCTGAAATGTTACATTTTTCAAATATTTTCTAACTAGTATGATACTCCTCCTTTCAAGAGTTAAAAAGCTTAGCTAGCACTGAACTCTTCTACTTTTCAAAAATTAAAACAAATATGTGACAAACGGGCTTCTAATTGGGGGATGGGGTTATTGTTATTTTCATTGCTTTGAAGCTCTGTAAAAACATAATAAAAGCAAATGTTGATACAGTAGTGCCTTCTTTGTTTTTTAAATACAGAATATTGTTGTGTAGACTGAATACCTTATATACTTCTATATATCTTATTGAAGCTCTAAATTTTAAGAAAACAACGTGAAGGGTTCTGCATGGTAGATACATCAATCTCCTGAGGGTATGCAAGACAAAGAAAGTAGTACTCCTTTGCTTTTAGACAAAAGAGTAATAAAGAAACAGTTATAACTGTCATGGTCACTTTGCTGCCTTAGTAAAGGATTGTAAGTTACTTATTCTCCTTTTAAAAATCCATCCCAGTACAGCAAAGAGATGTAGGTATACTTGTGTACTCTTTAACAAAACATCACTGACAACTTTGTGGCAAGCAACATATCCTTTTAGACAAAATGAATATTTGCAGCTATTGACTTCTGGTGTCTTGACCATGAGGAAAATAAAGATATTTGCATACAATGATGTTAGAACATTAACAGAGGCTTATATGTTTGTCTAGAATCATTTAATGCATAGGTAAAATTTACATAAAAAAGTGCAGTTATTGGAAATTCATTATTAGTAGCTTTATTAGTTATTAGTTACTTATGAATACAACACACGCAGCCACAAGAGAAGGACACATCACAAGACGCAGTATACACAAAATATAGGAAGAACAACTCCCATAGCGGAAGATTGATATAATACGCGAGTTTGAAATATGATGTGTAAGATGATAAATCTTAACAAAATTTTAATATATAAATTTTATTATAGTACATGACGAATATACATTTTAAATTATTTTATAAATGACACAGGATGGCGAGGATGGCACAGTGAAGCCGAAACATGTAGTGAAGTGACAAGTGAGATTGTGCGCACTCGAAGATGGTCAATACATACACATCATGGACATGAATCAGTGCAACAGGACGCTAACATACATTTATTAGTTAACTTGTAATTATCATTCAACCACTTAGTTTTGTTCTTTGTTAATGGGGCATTTATGCCATGTGATCCAATTCAGTAGATGTGCCATGATTGTTCAGATAATCCACATTTAACTCGCTTGGATCCTGTAACCATTGCATTTTGGCTTGTTTTCTTTGGTCTAATAATTCTGAGCATCCTTCATCGAACCGTGGCTTATGCTTTTTCAGTTCATAATAACCTAGACTCTCCTTGGCAGAAATTTTGATATTCTCTCTAGTAGTTTCCCAAGCTTTATTAACAACCACCTCAGTGTCTAAGTTTTCCAAAGCCACAAACCTATTTGAGATTTCAACACAATATTGCTCTCTACCCTCTACCTCATTTAATTTCTTGAGACTGAACCTCTCCATATGAACACTGGGCATTGTTTGTTTGCTCAAAGCCAGTCTTTCTGCAACCTTTGCCACCACCAGGTAGTGGTCAGTATCACAATCTGCTGCCTGAATGATCGGACATCAAGTATACTTGAATGCCGTCTCCTATCTGTCAAAATATGGTTGATTTGAACGTGTATCTTCCCATCAGGAGGTGTCCAAGTAAATTTTATGGAAGTTACAATGTGGAAACATTGTACTTTTGACAGCAATATTTTTTATGTGGTAAAGTTTACTACTCTATTGCTAGTGGGGTGGGACTAAGTCCCTTGTACTGTGGCCACTTCTGGTCTATTGTACCAGCCCCAGATGATAGGTGAGGGTGATTGTGGAACAATTGGTGGAATGAAGACTGGCAGGGGAAACAGAAGTACTTGGAGAAAATCTGCCCCAGCACCACTTTGTCCACCACAAATCCCACTTGATCAGACCCAGGCCGCCATGGTGGGAAGCCAGCGACTAACCGCTTGAGCTATGGCACGGCCTGAGTACTCCAACTCCATTATCATTACTAATTTCATGCAAACTTTCATTCCCAATCGTTGGTTTGAAAATGTCTTCCCTCCCTACTTTGGCATTGAAATAATAAAATGTTCATAGGGTACTTTGGGAATTTATCAAATACATGTTCTAGTTCCTCATAGAACCTGTCCTTTATGTCATCAATTTTATCTTCATTTGGGGCATGAACATTCATAATGACAATATCACACCAGTGACCTTTTAGTATTATATATGATATCCTATCACTAACGAACTCTACCTTCTTAACTGCTGATACCGATTCTCTTATGTACGAAAAAACCTGTAACAAAGTCATGATTTTCATTCCTTATTCCATAGAAAAATGTATATTCGCCCCACATCCAACCCTCAAGCAGGAGGACCACCTCTTGTTGGCTGTCTGCGACTGCTTATTCAATATATTCGCAGCTTCCCTCCGTAGTTTAACCTAATTTACTGTTGTGATAAAATCAATAAATTAGTAGTACTGCTTTAATAATAAAGGTAATGTTTTGCAAATGGACAATCTGAATGATTCTTATCTGCCAAAAGAAAAATGTTGAATCTGAATGCGGTGGTGACATATTCTTCCAGAACGCTGGGCCTCTGCCAAACTACACTGCACTGTAAGCCAGAAGACCATACTCTTCTACTTTATCATTGTCTATAAAGGACCTTTAGCAATTAACTAGAAAAGGAAATACTTTTTTTTACTTTCTTAAGCTAAATTCCAAAGTATGTCACTCCTTTTATAATAATTTTCCTTGCAATGAAAAAATAAAATGAGATTGACTTCCAGATGCTCAGCTATTGAAGATTGTTGAGAAGGGGGTTTATATAACTCTTTACTTGCAAGTATACCTTTTGTTACAATAAAATACTTATCAGGTAGCATTGATGTGAGGAAGGATATAATTTAGCATCTGTTTTTGTAAAAGGGTGTAAGTCACACTGAAATATGGTTGCTCTTTTATGCTTGCTATTATCTCTAATTTAGCAAACTTACACTTCACTCTTACTGAAGGATGATAGTTATATCAGTCTTTCAAAAAAAAAGAAAGTCAATAAATCTTATTTTTGAGGACTAATACTGATTTCTGTTTCCTGTAAACTCAACTTTAAGTTTAATACTGCTTCACCCTGGCACCAACAAACAAGTATGTTCAATATCAATATGAAATGTTTACTGCCTGATACTACCAATCTTGTATATCCAGTGGCCGCAAACAGAGTTCACCATCTGATATAACAATGAGCTTGTCATCATTGTGACTCATAAGCACATGACTATGAATCGACAAACTCAAGACAGCCCTACATGATTCAGTGCAATTCTTGGTGCAGTCCAACGAAAATGGTTGGGCAACAGCCAAGTAATTTTAGGGTATTCTTTTCAACTGAAGGACATTTCAGGACATGTGAGAACAGAGATTATAAATCACACATACCCGCAACAACTGCTGACCATTGCCACTGGTATTGTTCTCACATGAAAATATCCAAAAGAAAGAGTGATGTCGTGTGGGCCAGTGCTGTAGCTAGAAAGATGGATAGTAATAGAGGGAGGAACATTAGTAGTTTTAAAGCTAAGCTTTACTTATTTTTTATGTGTTATCATGTGTCATTTGAAAAGGAAAAGGATGCAAGTACTAGATCAACCAATAACACTATAAACTGCTGAATAATAAAGTCACAAACCTCTGGCCTGTATATGAAGAGAGAAGTTTTAGTAGCCAGGTGCAAAATGTACTTTTTACTTCTACACATACATACCTGAAAGAGGGCTACATCATTGTCATGTGCGACACCCATATTGTACATAGGATGTGGTACAACACGTTGTACCTTCATCTTCTGTCCGAAGTATGAGTGGGCATGGCGCCGCGTAATGCCCAGTTGAATTGTCCAGCCATCAGCATTTGACTGACTTGATTGACTGTAAAAATTATAAAATACTGATTCAACAGTATCTAAATGATACTGTGTATTAACTGACAAAACAGCAATATGAACTGCTATTTACATATGTGCTGTTTCATGTGCATACTTCTATGTCAAGAAATCTTCAATAATGAAGGATTCTGAAAAACATTTTTTTTAAACAAGTTTACCTCCATATCCTGTGACTCAACAAATCAAGGATTATTAAAAAATATAATCCTTTACAATGTAAATTTCTGAGGAGCAGGGTTGTTTCATGATGCTCTCCATAACTTGACTATGTAGGGTTGAAAGATAGGATGACAGATGAACGATGAATTGAAAGGATTTGAAAGGAAGCATTCATGCCCTAATCAAGGTAATATCCCAGGACTAGTTTGGAGGGACAGAAGACCGGTGATTGTGGTTAGATCTTTCTAAGGGACCCAAAGGAGTAGGTGTCTCCACCCTTCACCTGAGGATGGAAACAGATCTAGTTTCTGAAACGTTGTGTTTTCTAGTTCCTAGAATACCGAAAGATAGACAAAGTTGGAAAACCCAGTAATTTTGACTATTATACACCATCAGCAGAACCATTTAGAACCTACTTCAAACTTAATGTTTGACTTCAGATTTCAGTAATATGTCACATACCATGTTGAAGTTTTTCCAGTCTGCAAACACTGCAGTCACCATTTTCAAGGTTAATGCATTTCTTGAGATTTTAGCAGCTCTTATATAGATCTCATAATGAATGGTGGATCAGAGATTAAGCTGTGAATGGCTGAACCAGATGGGCGGGGCACAATCCAATAATGAGTGAACATGTGAATTATGCAAAGAAGTGATGAATAACGTTTTGGCAACAGGGTAATTTTGACACAGCAACTGTATCTTTTTCTTTAGTGGGGGGTGGAGTCCAACTGTGTCCACTCAGCACGGCAGCCATTGATTGGCCTATTGTAGTTTGCCCCGGGTGATTTTGATGATGGGGAATTTGGTGGAATGGTGATTGGAAGGAGGAACCTCAGTACTCGGAGGAAACCTGCCCCAGCACCATTTTGTCCACCAGAAATCCTACTTGACCACACCCGGGATCGAACACGGGCCGCCGCAGTGGGAAGCCAGTGACTAACCGCTTGAGCTATGGTGCAGTCCTCACAGCAACTGTAAATAACCAAGCCTGTTTACAGGAGTGAATCTGTTAAAGTATTACCTGTATCAGCATGAAAATGAATGGAATGAATAAGATGACAGAACTCCTTGATTGACTTTACTGAATACCTACTTTCCAACACAGTGCGATGCAGTGAGAACCCACTGGTCTGAAATTAGAACACCTGCACAGTAGAATATTTCCTCAGGACCCCCTAGCAGTGCAGCCAAAAATGGCCAGTCCCCAGGAGCAGATTCAACACCTCCCACAATGCGAGCTGATGGTCTTGTGTTGTATGAGTGACGTCTCTTGCCGCAAACTGAAAAGAGAAAAATGAATATCATTGCAACCTCTTTGGGATATTCTCAAAATGTCAGTTACAGACTGTAATTATATCTAAGCTGAATTATGGATTTCTACAAGCTCTAAAAGGGGAAGAACATGCTGGAAGCTGTCATTTACATTTACATTTATTTTCATGGATCCAATCATCTCCCCGTAGGGCTGGGTATAAAACATGTCACACATTACAAATACATGATGACTGCACATCATACGTCCTTGGTCCAATAAAATATATAATCAGGCCTCACGCAGACAGCACAAGTTGTCAAGACAACACACGTAGGCCATAGAAAAACCACTGTCAAATTCACACCTTGCCATTCCACACACACTGGCCAGCCACACTGTCAATACAGTTTCATTGTAACATATTAAAATTCATAATAAATCAGACATCATACATACTGCCACACTTACAAGCAAGTCTCAACAACGTATAATACAATCACACAGAACATTTATTAACTCAACTTTGGAGCCCCTTGCATGCTCGACAAATTCGTCAATAGAGTAAAATGAGTTACTTTGCAAATAATTTCATTAAACAAACCTAAATTGATTTTTATCGTTTTTTAAAACTGATATATTTGACCGCAGAGTGTTAAATAGCTAATGCCTGAATAATACACCCCTCTCTGATAGGATGATAAATGTGCTGTAGATATATGAAGGTGGTCATTCCTTCTTATACCAATTACATATACAGAGTTATTGGTCTGAAACTTATCCAAATTATTAACAACAAATATCATCAATGAGAGCAAATATACACATGGCATTGGCAGTATGTCAAGCTTTTTAAATAGGCCTCTACATGTATGAGTTGGGCCCACTCCCATCTTTATTCTTATTATTTTCTTTTGCATAACAAAGACCTTATGACTGTCTGATGTATTTCCCCAATATATTATTCCATATTTCACCAATGAATGATAATATGCATAATATACAGCTTTAAGAGTATTATTATTTCGCATTACAAAACAAACTGTGCTCAACTTATGAAGCAAAACATTGATACGTCCCTTACAAGTCAGATGATTGTCCAGCTGAAAACCAAGAAATTTTATCGTTTCTACTTCTTTCAGCATTTTGTTAAAAACAATGTATACAGAGGGTAGCTCATAGCTGCTGTTGGGGTGAATTTTATCATTTTCTTTTATCCAGATTTAACAGAAATTGATTATTTAAAACCACATAAACATATGATTAAAAACAATATCCAATTTTATTTTTAAATTATAGTAGTCTTTAGCTGTGCAAAGAATACTACTGTGATCTGCAAACATAATAACTCCAGAAATTTTACTTATTTCAAGGGGGAAATAATTTATTTATATATTAAAGAGTAAGGGCCCCAACACTGATCCCTGAGGCACACCACATCCAAGAATTTCTCAGTTGGAATAATATTTATTATTTATATAATTTAATTCCACCCTTTGCCTCCTATATTGGAGATAAGATTTGAACCATTGCAATAATACACCCTGCACCACATAGTACTGCAGTTTCATTAACAGAAGTTCATGACCGATGCAGTCAAACACCTTGGCTACAAAATATACCAGTTACATACTCTTTTCTATTCCAAGCTGTAAGTATTACATTGGTTAATTTAAATACAGCATCTTCGGTTGATAATCCATTTTGAAATCCATACTGCTCTGAAAGTAATATTTTATGTTTTACGATATGACAACTGAGTCCTCTAAATATTGCTGTTTCAAAAACTTTTGCAAACCCAGTTACTATAGATATTGGCCTCTAGTTAGTAATAACAGCCTCTTCCCCCTTTTTTGTATACTGGCTTAATAATCACATATTTTATTCTTTCTGGATACAGACTCATGGTTAATGACTTATTAATTACATAAGTTAGAGGTTTACTAATTTGTTGTCTGCACAGTTTTATAATTTTATTAGTTATGCCATCATATCCTGAAGAGTTTTTCGATTTTAATTTGTTAATTATACTAACTGTTTCCTCTTCTGCAACTAAATTAAGATTCATTTCTGGAAAACCATTAGAGAAATGGATATGCAAGTATGACAATGCAGTATAAACATTAGTTTTCTTAATATTAAGATTTTCTGTTATTGATGTGAAATATTTATTAAAACCATGAGCAGCTTCATCAATATTTATATTTCTGCTATTATTCTTAGAAGTATGTGGTAGACGTTCTTTATTATTATTGTTATTTCTCACTCTTTCATTGTTGATAATGTTCCAGGTACTTTTTATATTGTTTTCAGCTGATGTAATTAACTGATTATAATATTTCCTTTTAGCTTCTCTTAAAATTCTTCTCAATATCATGCAGTAGAAGTAGTTACTATAGGATTCTGACGATGGTGTATAACACACAGAGATATTGGGTTTTCGGATTTTATCCATCGTCCTAGTTTTTAAGATAACTAAAAAAAACACGACGTTTTGGAAACTCGATCTGTTTCCGTCCTCAGGTGAGGGAAAACACCTATTCTGTTGGGTCCCATAGAAAGAGCTAGCCTCAATCACTGGATTGTGTATCATGCAGTAGGATTTATAGTATGATTTAAACAAATAGTTGTAACTGTATCTACTGAGAATGAACAAAGATTCCTTCCGCTTACTGTATAACACACGCAGTCGCAGGAGCACGACACAACAAAAGCACAACACACAAGATAATGAAGGAGTGCTCCAACAAAGGAGAATGGGCGTGACTGACGTAGTGAGGGGCGACGTAGCGATGTGGTATCCTGAACAATTTTAATATTTTTAACGTTTGACAATGTATATGATAGATACATATTTTAGTTATTTTAATGTGTGAACATGGCATGCAATGAACTGGTTTGACGTGGATAAGTAAGCACCTGAAGATGGCATTATTATGCCGAAACATGTAGTGCGAGGGAGAGAAGGAGATAAATGAGTGTATGCACTGCAAGACGGATTAAATAAATCATGGACTTAAATCAGTGCAACAGGACGCTAAAATATAACATAAGTTTATACATATTTTCCCATTTTACATTAGATAGTTTATTAAGAAATTGTGCAATTTAATCTTCATTTACTAATCTTATTGTGATTCCCTGCACTTTTTTCTTCTCCAGGAAACTGATATTTTTAGTACAAGACACTGAGCATCATGATCCGATAGTTCATTACTAATAGAGATAACATCATAAGAATTTATCTTCGCATTATCAATAAAAATATTATCAATTGCAGAGCTTTTGGTCTCAGTTATTCCAGTTGGGAACTGTACTGTATGAAATGTATTATATGATTGCAACAGCACTAGCAGCTGTGTTTTACGTGTTGTCTCTCCTAAAAAATTTACATTAAAATCACCACATATTATAAATTGAAGGTTAAATAGATGGCATGGATGATGCACATTTTGGTATTTTAAACAGAACAAATGATACTTTGATCTATTGGGTTTTTGGACTTTATCCATCGTCCTGGTTTTTAAGATAACTAATAAAAACATGACGTTTCGGAAACTGGATCTGTTTCCGTCCTCAGGTGAAGGAAAACACCTATTCTGTTGGGTCTGTTAGAAAGAGCTAGCCTCAGTCACTTCCAGTGTTTTTATTAGTTATCTTAAAAACCAGGACGATGGATAAAGTCCAAAAACCCAATATATCAGTGTGTTATACACCATCGTCAGAATCCTATAGTAACTACAAATGATACTTATTCCAGAAACATATGAAATCCACCATTAACAATGCATGAAATTAGGTTTGAAGTTCTTATGGTAGTGAACATTAAGAGTACAGCTCTCTGAAATGAAAATCAAAGTAGTCTGGTAGCTGGGTGCATACATACTCAGTATATGGTATCACATGCCAGAAGACCATAATCTGAACTATGAAGTTTTGAAATACCAAAGACTAGAAAGGAAGCATATCTGTACAAAAGCCAGGGCATTGCAACTGGCAGTAAAAAACATAATAAAGTAAACAATAATATACATATAAAAATTCTGGGTGCAATTAATAACTAAACAGTAATTATTACTTACCATAGTCTGAGCAAGAGAGTTCAATATTTGGATAGCTGTTTCCTCCAGGGCATGCACGCAGCTCCTTGAGCAGGGTGGTTTGCTTTTCTTTGTACAGTTTAAATATGCTTGATGAGTTGCTACTGGCTGGAAACAATGGCTTCTCACCTCCTTTCCATATCAACTTACTTATGTTTGCTGACCTAGAGTAAAGCAATTGTAGTTATGATTTACTTCCACTGATATAATTCAATCCTTTACTTATGCCTACACAGAATGGTGAGGGGTTTGAGAGAAATGCATATGCACACTTATGTGTGGACATTGTATTCCCATCTCTGTAATTTGTGAGGAGTGGAAACTCTGTGCCTACCTTAGAATAAAATTTGTAAGCGTCTCAATGCTCACTCAGCGCCATCATTACCCAGTAGGTTGTGAAATACTGGAAGTAATTTTAAGGGTAAAGTGTTCTGGGTTGAAACACCATGCAGTTCAGGTAAAGCCTGACGTTCGGGAGGCACGTATCACCTCCTTCTTCAGAAATGAGGAGTAAGCCAAGTACAATACCAGCAGAAGCTAGCAGCACACTCTGCTTCTGCTGCTTTCTTCTTTGGAATACTGCTCTGAAGTTAAAGATGGAAAGTGTAAGTTCATCCAGAATGACACTACATGGCGACACATCCCAGCAGACTATACTCTGCAGAGCTATTGCCGTGAGAACATAATATCTGCCGTAATATTTTACTTATCTGGATGTTCTATTATATGAAAAGGGATTTATGCTGAACACAATCCCATACTTTTGAGGGGCAGTGAAATCTTTCATGCAAAAACATTAAAAATTACAATATCAAGACAATGACAGATCCAATTATTGGCATTCAGAGAAATGTGGACACTGGTTTGAAATCATTCAACCTTTTGACAGGGAGAGTATGACGTTGCTAAGAATTTCATGTTCAACACTTGGTGTGTTGGCTTAGTATGTGAGGCTGCTGGATGGGTGGTGCATTGAGCAGTACAAATTCTAACCATTTTTTATTAAGGTCTCTGTAGATATTCATCTCTGTAGAACTTCTAAGTGCGACACACACTGTCAGCCATTTCATAATATATCAACTGTTATGCATGTGAATACACAACACGAAGCTTTACTGAAAATTGATGCAAAGCAGTAACTTCTCTCCAGAACATTTGAATTCAGATATATTTGCCACTGAAACTGAAATTTACTGTGCCTGTGGTTTGTGTTACTGTCATATGATGAACTCCCCATTACACAGCATGTATGAGGACTGTGTCAGCTGCAAGAGAAAAACTCTTGCAGAAATTCAATGCAAGGCCAAAGCAATATGTTTTCACTGTGAGTTTGTGTGGGAGAATTCCTGAGTGGCATAGTGGATTCATGACTGAAATATTTCAGATACATATACTCTGACATCATAAATTCCCTACTTTAATGACCCCTGTGTGAGTGAAGACAAATGTAGCACTGATAGTGGAGGATGGTAGAACTACTGCAGGAAATGGGAGGGTGAACATATGCATACTGAAACTTTTGTTTTGCATTACTTTATAAAAATGGTAAATTTTCTTTGAAAGTTTTCATGATTGGTTGAGAATTTTGAATGCTTTACTATTGGATTCCTGGGAATTTTTTGTACAACAAAATTAATTGTGGATTATATGAAGACATGCAGATGGAATGGGTGGAGGCAGGTGAAAGAGGCATAAAGCCACAGGATCAAGAATAAGAATAACAGCAAGAAGATTTCTGGAGAAGAATTTTGAGACCAGAGTAGCCACTATATTACTTAACAGTGGAAGACAATTAGAAACAGAAAACAACTTGATTTACTGAAATGTTAATTGTTAGATTTGTTTGACACTGTAAAATGCTAAGGGTTTGCAATAAGATATGACAAAACAGAAGCAAAGTCTTGATATGAACAATTGACATATATATACATAAGTCCTCTTGATGTGCATATGTGTTTGAGTTGGTGGGTTGTGTTCTCTCCTGTTGTGTGTTGTTCTGCATGCTCCCGCCAAATCAAACACATATGCAGATTGAGAGGACTTATACATTTAACAACAAAAGAAACAACAGAAGATGGCAGTTTCCTCGCCCAATAATTTTAACACCTGATGATTACCACACTGGTCAGAACATGTAGTGATGGAATTTTAAGTGTATAACTTTTAATAAATTCTATAGAACATCGTGTTGCACATGAGAATGTTAAAAGACTAATCAGTGCTAAGTGAAAAGTGTAACAGGATGCTACAATACAATATCATCAATATTCTTATACCCTTCATCAGTAAAGAGCACTGCTTATAAATATGTGGTGGGTAAACAGAGGTATATATTTTGGTTATGTGAGTGTGTTATCATGTACCTGAAGTGAAACAGTTTATTCACACTTACAAGTAGCCCATTTGAGAACAGATGTGATTTGCAAATGATCCAGAATCCCAATGTGTAATGCATGCCGACTGCCAATTCTGCTCCTCGGGGTGGAACACTTGCAGCCTTCCTCGGCCCACATCCCCCATGCGCTCACTTAGACGCACTGCAAATAAGAAAATTATAGTAACAAACTAAGAAGAAAAAGGACAATTGTGATAATCCTAATCTGATTTAATTAACTTTCAATAATGCAACTGACCAAATAAACTAGAAAACAAAAATAAGTCACTTTTAACCTTACTATGAGTATAGGCAACTTTTTAATTAAAACTAACATCACCATTGTTGAGAATGCATCTGATTTTAATGAAAACCAGAGAATGGTCTGTCAGAATCCTATTCGTTATACATTATCTCATTAAAGGGAAAACTACTCTTTATTGGAAGAAATGCAAAGTAAAGTTGTTAAAATAAAAGATGATGTGATTCATGCAAATCATTGCTGATTAAAAACAAATTTTGGGCATTAATTAAGTAAATGTCAGGAAAGAATATATCTATAATTAATTCTACACAAAGCATTAATAACACAAATTTTTACAAAGGATGTCGACAGTGTCAGTGAAGGAGTTCTTAACAGACTTGAAAGACAAAATATGCGGAAATGAACTGGTTGGAGATCTTGTACAGATATTATGAAAAGAAAGAAACCACCCATGTTATCACAAAGTAAGTTAATTCCATCATAAATTCTATCTATACTTCATACATTCACAACTAAATATTATCAATATCCACAAAATGGACAAGATACACTGAAACAAAAGACTTATTTGTTCCTCTACTACAAAACTTACATACATGCAATGTGTTAACTCTCCCAAATTTGTTGCTATGATAACAAAATATCTGCATAATTTCAGACTTTTCATCTGTCTGTTACAAAATTATACAAGGATATCGCAATTTCTGATGCATAACACTAAAGTTTTGTGACTTGCGGTAGTGACATATTTGGAACTATGAGCTGATATCTAATGTTTCAGACACTGTCTCTGTCACCATCAGTAACAATAGACCACTGTAGGTCGCAGTGCAAGGGCCGGGAAGGCCCACCCCATATATATAATTCATTCATTCATTCATACACCGTCAGTAAGGGTTGATGCAATGAGCGTTGTGCGCACATGCTGTATTCATACACGCCCTACCCTACTCGAGGGCAGGCTGCATAGGAAATCATGGACAGAAGCAGATAGCCAGTGATGACCTCTCCCAGCAGACACCACATGGGTACTGGCCGGTCACCCGAATCCATGTTGTTAGTCACTAATCCATCCTTATGAAGTTTTAGAGTTTTATGTTTTATTGTATTTATGGCAGCATATCATGAACAGTTTAGAAGGAGTCCTGCATTTATCTTAAAGTTACCTGACTATACCAACCTCATTAGTCAACAGTGGCTGAGCACAGCATCAAAGCAGAGCATCGATGCACTACTGGCAGGAATGAGAGGCTACATGACATTCATGAATGTGGACATAGGAAGTGATTCCTTGGTAACCACTCATTGTTACTTCTGCACAAATGGAGCTCGTCCATGTTTTGTAAGACAGTACGCAGGGAGCAGGTGGAGATAAAATGGGAAAGATTAAATGGTTCTCATGTTCCCTCTACACAAATATAAAACTGTGATATTTATAGGGTATTTGTTTATAACATGATTTTATTCAGTTCCTGAAGTAGTTAACACAGCCATCTATAAACATTTCTTCTGGTTAATGTTAGTCTGTATTTCAAGAAACCTTTCAACTGCTTCCTCAAAAACCCTATGTGAGCTGCATCTATCACTTAATGTCACACATCTTCACATGCAAAGTAAAAGTAAGTAAAGCTTCACAAATGGAATACGCCTAAAGGTCACAATATCAGTGGAATTTAAAATATTCTAACATGTCAATGCAGTGCCAGGCAACAGCTCGTTAAACACCCAGCCATACATGCATGCGATAACAGGACGAATGTTTATAGCTTGTTTCTAGGCTACAGTCGGTGCGCGAATGGACTGGTGAGATAGTTATCACGTCACTTGTTTTCTGTGTGATCTGCACTACTCAACATTAGAGCTGTGTTTTCTGCGTTGTCTGTGCCATGGCTCTATAACACGAGTCCACTAGCAGCTAAGAAGATTCCAGGAGGGTTCAGCAGTTGAGAGTGCAGGGATGAGAATTGAGGGTGTCCTTAGTGAATTGTGAAGATTAATGGAGTACAAAGTGACTGAAGACGAAATAACAAGAAGACTTCATAGTGATTTGAAGCTCTAGTTTATGTGTTGAGATCTGCTGCCAGGAGATGACTAGTGGAACTGAGAATAATAGCGCGTGTGCAACAGTGAACTGTAAATAATGTAAATCAGCGATAATTCTGTATTAATTGTAATTTAGAGAGACTGTAATCAATGTGCCACTAAATCCAATCATCTGAACTAGAACCCATTATTTTTGTCACGTATACCACCCTACTCCAAGGTTTCAGTCTGCAAGCGAACTATACTGATCGAGCGACTGCTGCTTGTCGGCGAAGTTAGTGTCAACTTTAGCAGATAGAGGGTGTTGCGTGGTCAGTGCAACAGATCCCCACGGTCGTTTATCTCGGTTCTACACATGACAATAACTGCGGTTCATAAATTCTGCACTGGATTGTAACTCTGAGCAGTTCAGAGAAAGCCTGATATTTTGGAGGAACATTTCACCTACATCGTCAGCTTTGAGCAGTAAGCCAAGCAAGGAACTGCAGAAGCATGCAGCAAGCTTACTCTTAGGCTCTGAAGATGAAGGTAACATATTCTTCTGAAAGATCCAGGTTGCACTAAATGACACAGTGGTAAACCCAGAAGGCCTACTGTTCATAGTTTCCACTCTGAAAATTTCAAGCCCAGTAAGTATAACGAACTTAACTGAGCAAGAGTACTGATAGGTCTTCTCTATACATTTCTTTTATGAATTATTAAAACACACTATGATAATTAGAATTTTATGGTTTTATGGTTGAAACTAAGCTATCGTTTATCACCAATGAATTATAAAATACATGACACGTACAGTGTGTCATATTTCTTTTCTGAAGGAACTGTGAAAATAATTATAACTTGTGAAAAAAGAATGTAGGCATTTGAAGCAGTCATAGCATCCTTTGGGAACTGAATGGCTTTTGCATGGAAAGAATCCTGGGACCTTCTAAAGAGAGTTGCTGCTTCATATCATTTGTGAGGCAAGAGCTGCAACATGTGTTACTATTATACTGTATAGTACAGTGCAGCAACTTACAGCAATTCCTTTCATCCTGACCCCAAGGGCAGTCCTCAACTCCATCACACATATGGCTTCGAGCCATGCAATGTTTCTCTCCACAGTGGATCATGCCTGCAGAAAACATCCAACATATGTTTTTGACAGTGCTTTATTGTACAAGAGGAAGGATTAAAAAGACATGTACTTAAACCTAAATTGCTCGCTCTGCACCCAACCAAATACTGGGTTGTAGATGTAGCCAGCAACTTAGATATTGAGGATGAAATAATATACATATCATCAGGGCTATTGCACATCACAGATGGTTGTGACAGTTGAATATGGAGCAATACTGAGATTAATTAGAGGCAGGAGAAAACCAAAGAAAATTTTCGCTTAGTGGGGGGTGGAGTCCAACTGGGTCCACTTGGCACAGTGGACACTGATTGGCCTATTGTAGCCTGCCCCAGGTGATTATGATGATGGAGAATTTGGTGGAATGAAGATTGGCAAGGGAAACCAAAGTACTCAGTAAAAACCCACCCCAGCACCACTTTGTCCACCACAAATCCCACTTGACCATACTCAGGATCGAACCTGGGCCGCCACGGTGGGAAGGCAGTGACTAACCGCTTGAGCTATGGCGCCGACAAAAA